ATATACTGTATATACTGCCGTTCAAAAGTTTGGTAAGATTTTTAATGTGTTTTAAAGAAGTCTCTTCTGCTCATCAAGGCTGCATTTATTTGATCAGAAATACAGAAAAAAAACAGTAATTCTGTAAAATAATATTACTATTCAAATGAATGGTTTTCTATTTTAATATACTTTAAAATATAATTTATTTGTGCGATCAAAGCTGAAATTTTTTTTTGGAACCTGTGATACTTTTTTCAGGATTATTTGATGAATAAAGTTTAAAGTAAAAAAGAACAGCGTTTATTAAAAACATATATTGTTAGACTTTTCAAGCAATGTAAGTCTTTATGATCACTTTTTATCAATTTAACACATCCTTGCTGAACAAAAGCATTCATTTCTTTCAAAAAAAGAAAAAATTGCATTGACCAAACCTTTTGAATGGTAGTGTGTAGTGTATATTTTTACAAAAGATTTATATTTTGAAAAAATGCAGTTCCCTACCTGTCGGTCACTACGCGTTATTTCGTGACGACATTAGGGGTCTTACTTGAGAGCCCGAATCCTCTCTGATTAAGAGAAAATGCCAATGATATTTGGCTAGTGGATTTTGCATGCTGAGCCACTCCCCATGCACACGGGTATAAATAGGCAACAGGTGCATCCACTCATCAGATTTTTGCTTCAGAGCCGAGTGAATGAACACGGTTCGAGATTCACCAGGCAAATTCTCTCTGCTGCTGGAAGAAGAGGCTGTTCTGGGTGGCCATTTCTTTCAACAACCAAAAAAGAAAGAAAGAGAAAAAAATGACTGACCCCAAACTTTTGGTAGTGTATACTGTAACAAAAAAATTATATTTTGAAAAAATGCTCTTCTTTTTAACTTTTATTCATCAAAGAATCCTGAAAAGGTTTCACAGGTTCCAAAAAAATATTAAGCAGCAAAACTGTTTCCAACATTGATATTAAATCAGCATATTGATTAAATATGAAGACTGCAGTAATGATGCTGAAAATACAACTATGATTACATAAATAAATTACATTTGACTATATATTAAAATAGAAAACCATTATTTTAAATTGTAATAATATTTCACAATATTGCAGTTTTTTCTGTATTTTTAATCAAATAAATTCAGCCTCGATGAGCAGAAAAGTCTTCCGTAAAACACATTAAAAATCGTACCGATCCCAAACTTTTGAACGGCAGTGTGT